ACATGACGGAACTGGATGTGTTCATTTGGGAAAGGTGATCCACTCTGAGGCTCACCAAACTACTGCCGTCAAGCTTGAGAAGGGCTACTATAGGGAAGTGGGATTTGACTTCTGCCTTGTGTTCCCGTAGAGGTGAATAGGACCTGGGGACATTCTAGTGAATCATATGGGCATCTGTGTCAAGCTTTTGTTTGGAAAGAGGTGGCACCTACACGGTCAGGCCTCTGTCCAGATGTGATCATGGTATTTTTCCACTCCCTGGAGCCATCTGGACTCAGTTTATGAAGCATCTCTGTTGAATGGTTTCTGAAGTAACAGAGAAGGCTTGGCTGTTCTGGCCTGGATATCCTGAAGGGGGTGTGTGGGGGAGTCTTTGTCATCACTAGTTGCTTCCTTCCCAAGAGGGTCTGTGTGTGCTCTGGTCTGAGGTCCTCACAATTCACTCTCTCTGACTGAGGAAATCTGACCATACTTTGGGAACAGGGCCAGCACAGGGAGAAGAGAGGTCTTTGTTTTTGCTCATGTTATCCTGGCAAAGACCTGGAAAGTCAAGAGACGCACTTGGCCCTTGGGGTGAAGGCTCCAGGCTTTCTGTATCACAGATGTGCTGGTAAAGGGGTTCACTGCGTGGTCCTTTGGTCACATTTATTTTTTGGTCTCTTCTTGTTGGTGTGTCTTTCCTTCCTCCCTCCTCACTCCTACTCTCCAATAAGAGGCCCAGTTTCTACTGAAAATGGAAACCACAGAGGTAGGTTGTTGTAGAGCAGGTGAGCCATTCTTTGAAGGGCTAAGAAGGCAGCTGGGGACTAGACTGCATTGATGCTTGTAGGCTGTTACCTCTTGGCTTGAAGAGTCCCTCCACCTCATCACCACCCTGTACAATACCTCAAGGCCCCAGAAGCCTCCACTTGAGCACCCTCTAAGGGGCAGACTGTGGCCCCGCCCACTTGCGCTCCTGCCCACCATTAATCATAGGGCAGATTTTGGTAAGATTCTGGAAAAGGGAAAGTTAGCCTAGAGACAGGAGGCAGGTTGGTGTTTGCAGTGGAACTGTGGGGAGGTAATTTTTGAAGTGACAGAATATTCTAGATCTTGATTGTCATAGTCTTTACATGAGTGTCTACTTTTTCTTTTTATCAGAAACCAATTACATACGCCTCTGGTTTTGTTGTTGCTGTTTTATTTTGGAGGCAGAGTCTTTCTTAGTTGATATTCCAGGCTAGTCAGGGACACACTATGTTCTTCTCACTATGTCTATGTTGAGTTGGCTGTTCTCCAACTCAAAATTTTCCTGCTTCCTCATCCTGCTATTACAGACACAAGTGCCGCTACATCTGGCTTGTGTTTCTTCTTGATACATTGTTAGTTAGAAAACAAACCTTGGCACTGAGGATGTGGTTTTATTGATAGGGTGTTCGATTACCATGCATGCAGCCCTGGATTCAATTCCTACCACCACATGAAGTTGGCAATATAATTCCAGCACCTAGGAGACAGAGGCAGGAGGATTGGAAGTTCAAGGGCATTCTTGGCTATATATCTAGTTCAAAGCCAGTCTGGGCTACGTGAGACCCTGTATAGAAAAATAAAAAGAAAATCTTAGAATATGTTTGTAGCAATAGCCATGCCAGAGCAATGGTCAGACAGGCACTAGGTACTGATTTTGAGCCAGGTGGATACTCAAAGTGAAACAATACTTCCAGGAAGATTCTGTGAGCAATCACAGTAAAGTTGGACAGTAAAGTTGGCAGCTCCCTAGTCTGCTCTGTGCCAAGAGGACTCTTCCTTCCTAAGCTGCAGGTCCCTGTGTTCTTGATTGCCTTAGATGCTTCTCTTTCCTTGAAAACCCATAGGCTGGAAGCTTGTAAAGACAGACGGATCACTTACCACTGAAACTGAGGCCCCTATAGCCTGTAAGGAAGAAAAATAGATGGTGAAATCTAGACAGAAATATGACCCCATTTTTTATCTCCATTTTTAATATTTTGTTCAGAGAGACTTCCTGCGTTAATATTGGTGGGTTTTAAGCATTGCATTAAAATATGATAAACCTTGGGTTTTTGGAAACCCTTTTATACTGGACAGCCTATGTGATAACTTCTTGCTCACGCTCTTACAGTGCCAAGGACAAAGTAGGAAGATGGAACTCGTCTTTAGTTTCTAAACTCCGGGAACAGCTGTATCAACCTGCTGTAGGCTGGGGTCGGGGAGAACGGGCTGGCATCATAGCTGCCTACCCAGGTGAGTGGAGTAGGAGACAGTTGCCCTTCACTGTGGACATGGAGCAAATGGGAGGAAGGTTCCTGAGCCTCAGGGGTAACTCCTGGTGGACGCTCCCTTAGGGTGGACTTAATGTCTCCTCTCTGTGCTGCTTGCCCTCGAGCCTGGAAGGACCTGTAGTGTTGAGTAATGGAGAACAAGAGTGTTAACAAGAGGTCAAAGAGGAGAGGGTGCTCGAGTGTTCCCGAGGAGGAACTGGGGAGAAGATTCCAGAGTGAGGCTCCCCAGAGAGGGCCTTTACCCAAAGTGGGACCAAGAAGGTGACAAGGAGGAGAATGGAGTGACAAAGAGCGCTGTGTCCCAAGTGCAGCCCTGGATGGAACCGGGAAGCTCCCGGAGCTGGGAGCACAGTTTCCAACCACACAGAGATTTTCTCCATGTCTCATGCCAGAAGCCATGAGCTCTTTGCCTGACTGACATGGTTTTTATGTAAAAGCTCCCTTTGGGAGCTTTTAGAAACCCAAAAGGAAATGAGCCAGGGGGAGGGAATGACAAAGTTAAGATGGGCCTGAAATTGCCCCAGGGTCTCCATCATTGATTAGGGTTCTCATCCAGGGAAGGACAATGCTGCTGAGATCCCCCAGTAGAGAGAAGGCGAGCCTTCCAAGCATCCCTCCAGAAAGCAGCTTGGAAGCTTTCCGTGGAAAGGGTCAGTCAGAGGAAGACAAAATTGAATATCAGCTAGGAAGGCATGAAGCTCAGAAAAAAGGTACTAGGAAAGAGTGGATCCCAGCCAGGGGCAGGTATGGAAGTCAAATTTAGAACAGCGTCAAGGCTTGGCTCTGCCCTGGGGGTGGGGGAGAGGGATCTGAGTCTTATCCAGGCAGCCCAAAGCCGTCTTCTCACAAGAGGAAAATGCCCCAGAAGTCTTACATGCCCGAGTGTTCCCCTAGCACCAAAGTGGCGCTGTGTTCTCCTGTGCAACGGCCTGCTGCTCCCGTGCCTGTCCCACCCCCACCCCAAGAGCCTGGGGATCAGTGTTCTGTGCCTCCTGAACCCACTCCGTGGGACGCTGAGGGCCACATGACCTGGTTAGCAAGGACTCTGGGACAGGAAACCAAGGAAAAGCTGAGACTGCTTCAGAGCCACCTGTTCTTGGGTGCTGTGTCATCACCGATTTCCAGACTTCACACCCGTAGACTTCCAAATTGTCCTTGTCTCTGACTTGCCCAGAACCCCCTAGCTGAGCTCTTCCCAGAGGCTCTGGGGACCTGGTCTGGAAAAGACAACCTGACCTGCCTGGAAGACTGATGCCCTCCAGGACTGGCCTCTGCCAACGATGAAGCATGGCCTTATAGCTCACTGATGCCCAGAGGGGACCTCCTTAGGGAGGAGGAGGAACCAGCACACAACTCCAGCCTGTGCCCAGACCTGGATGACCAGAGTGTGGACAGCAAGAGAAAGTGAACCAAGGCTGAGTTCTGATGTCTTGGAGAGCAGCCAGTGAAGTAACGTATCCAAGTCAGAGACTCCTTGGCTCTCTGCCTGGTCTTCCAGGAGTTTTCCCATGAGCCTCTGTGTCTTCGATTTCCCCGAACACCCTAAACCAGAGCCGTTTCCATGTACGTTTATGTAAAAGATCAAGAGCTAGCCTCAGACTCCACCCTAGTGGCTATCCCTAGCTACTGCTCCTAATTGTCAAGGCATCCTCAGCCTCTCCCTCGCTTCCTGCCTTGCTTTCCTCCTTCTCACTGCCCGATGCTAGAACGGCTCCACCGGTTTGCTGAGTTTGGTCAGAGCCCCCAGCCCCATCAGTGCTGGTACCGCAGCTCCAGGGGTCTAGGTCTGTCGAGCTTCTAGGATTGCCATGGAAACCAGCAGTTCATAAAAGAGGCAAAAACAAAAGCAAAGAGAGTTTTATTTGGGTACAGATTCATGCATGGGGGAACACAGACCCAATCAAGGAATCCGTGGTACTCAGTAGAGTTCGGGCAACCCCGGGGCTTTATCACAAAGGGAGCATTCCCAAGTCCACCCAAAGCTTCTGCTTCCACAATTCTGAGCACAGCTACTTTGGTTTAGGACGCCTGTCTCTCCCTCTGTTTCTTTTTCCTCTAATGATCAGGCTGGAGCACAGGGTTGGAGGTCATGAGTCAGCCTAATATTCCCCGAACCGGTTTCTACTCAAACACACACATGTTTTTATATTAATTGACTTTGATATAGTTCATAATATTTTATTACTGTCAATTGAGGTAATTCATTATGTGTGTAATTTAAAACCATCTGATTTCTTTTGTTGATATTAAGAGTTTTCATAAAAAAAAATTTCAGAAAAAAAAGTCTATCTCGTGTCCAGATTTGGGGTTTGGACACAGGGGTACTTGGAAATGAACACACTTTGCAGACAAGGCCTTCCTGGAGGGCTCAGATGCACACATCCGGGGGGCTTCACATCATTTCAGAGTCTGTCTGGAACCCTCTGGGAGGGCGGTAAAGGGGACCCCACACACAAGCGCCACAGAAGCTCCTGTGGTGGCAGTTTCAAGAGCCTAGGTATTAGCTGAGTAACTGGGATGGGGCTGAAGGACAGGTCTGGCAAGTTCTGGGTTGTTTATACCTGAGTTACCTCACACGTCCCACCAGCTTCCCCGCCCCATCTGCTGGGGGCCGGCCCTCAGCCCTCAGCCTCCTTTTCCCCACATGCTGGGGGACCGGGGGCCCAACATGGAGCTTCCCCTTGACATCAGCTGAGCCTGGAAGAAGCATCCTCTTACACCATGGACAGAGGCAGCCACCGGGTGAGTGCGCTGAAGTCTTCTGGGCTCTCCCAGGCTTGAGCAGAGACAGGCTGGAGACAGGCAGGGCGCTGCCAAGACCTGCCCTGGGTTTAGGGAAAATAGAATGTCTATGCTAACTAGAAACTGCCTGGGATCCAAGGATCTCAACCTCTTCACCTTAGTCCCTAGAAGGAAATCCAAGGAGGAGAAACCAATAAAATATGGGGTCTAGTTACTAGGCTGTGTGGCTAAGGTCTGGACAAGCTTGTGGCCTGTGCCCTGGCAAAAAAAGACAGCTCTTGCGTTACCTGGTCAGCTTTGCCATTTGAGAATCTGATTTAAACTAGATTCATTTTTGCTGGTTTGAGAACCCAAGCGTGTTTTAACTCATCTTCAAGGATTACCTCCTAGGTAGACTTCTAAACCTTCCCGGAAGCATGTGATATTTTTTAAATGTACAGTAAAGATTTTCATTGGTTACTTACTAGTGTACACGGGAAGTGCTTCCTTATGTCTAACCACAGTGTCTTTTGCTATATCTCAGGCTTCCTTCTTCTGCTGCTTTTAGAGGTGATAGAGAAAGATGAGGTTGTCCTGTATAGAAAAGGTTCATGTACACCCATCAGGTATCTGCAAAACTTTATTTAATATGCCACCCTTTTAAATTCTCCTAGGTCCCATTTTCTGCTTCTTTCCACATTTTTCTGTTCTCTATTGATAGTGTGGACACTGAGACTCTAGAAAGTCTAACAAGCCCTGGGTTTGAAGAAATTCAACCCATCCTATGTTCTAGGCTGTGCCTAGCTTGTGGTCCATTCTGAACCTGAGTGTTTCTGCCTAGGGCACTGCCATCTCCTCCTATTCCATAATTCTCTCTTCTCCTTTGCTCTCTGCTCTGGTCCTTTTGGCTCATGTCTCCACAGGAAGCAGAAAAGGGAGCATGGCAGGAGGTGGGGGCGTTCTGTAGGAAGTATGGGCACCACCATCATAGTCATGGTTGTTTTCCTTGGGAACTTGCTAATCCCCAGACCCAAAGACGGGGACTGAGCTATCAGTTCAAGTTGGAGATGGGCAGAGAGCTCACCTCTCCCCTGGAGTGGGGTTACAGAAGTGACGTCCATCTGGGGAGCTCATCTCCCCAGAGTTAGGGACCAATGTGGAAGGTGGCTGGAAGGACAGGACATGGGCAAAAGCATGAGTTAACTGTCAAAGTTCTGGTAGGTCCTGTGATTACTATGGAAGGTCTAAGCTTCTCTTGGAATGAGAGAGCCGAGCCGTTCCATTATTTAAGGGTCCAGGGGAAACCCCCAGATAGTGAGTGAGTCAGGGAAAAGCAGAGAGCCTATAGCTGCCCCCCTAATCTTATCTACAGCAGATTTTTAAAAATCATTTTTCTTTTTGTTTTTTTTTTCAAGACAGGGATTCTTCTGAGTAGCCATGGCTGTCCTAGAACTTGCTCTGTAGACCAGTCTAGCCCCCAAAATATACTTGTCTCTGCTTCCTGAGTGCTGGGATTAAAGGCATGCACCATACAACCTGGCTCAGATTTCTTAAAATTAAATAAAAATGGGCTGGATAAGCCAGATATAGTGGTGTATGTCTTTAATCCCAGCACTAAGGATGCAGAAACAGGTGAATTTTTGTGATTTGGGAGCCAGCCTGGTCTACAAAATGAATTCCAGGATATAGTGAGACTCTATCAAAAGAAGGAGGTGGAGGAGGAAGAAGAAGAGGAAGAGGAGGGAAAAAGACAAGACACTGGAGGTTAAAGCCCGGGCTTCCCCAGTGAGGGCACAGTGGCAGAGAGATGCTTTGTGGGTTTTGTTCTTCCTACAAAGACAGAGGACGTGGTAGCCAGTGGGATGGAGCTGATGTTGTTCATGAAGGATATGCCAGACCTTCAGAAGGCTCTTTAAAAGGAGTGGAGAAGGCACTCCACTTTCCTGTATTCAAAAGGAACAAAAAGTTGGATGAAGTGACTAGTATCTACCTTCTATCCCAGCTGTGCTGGAGGTTGAGGCAGGAGGATGAAGAGTTAACTCCAGGTCAGGCTGTGCTAGGTAGCAAGACCACAACAGGAAAACAACCCAAGAAAGAGTCCCTTGCTGTGGTAGGCAAAAGTGGCAGAACCTGGTCACTTTAACTTCCTGTCCTTTAGTGTCTTCATCTGTAAAATGGAGCACTTGTTGCAGGAGTCTCTGAAGCCTTTTGTGTGTGAAGGTTCCTTTAGAATGTCCTCTGATATATCAGAGATGCAGATACAGTCACGCTATGTGCCTATCTTGAGTCTAGAACTGGCTCCTCTTCAGTCGCCCTGCCTGCCAAAGAAGAGGGTTAGACAAACGGCCCCAAAGATCCTTTTCTGTTCCCACTGCAGTCACTAGAATGATACGGATCACAGTGTGTGCCACTGGGTATATGCACACTGTTCCTGTCAAACGTGAAAATTCTGGGCTTATGCCAAGTGGGTCACACTTTTCAATGCTTGGGGAACTGCCGTGCCTCCTAAGAGGACTAAAGTCGGGCCATTGATCAAGCAACGGTCCACTGGAGAACAGATTTGCTCGTGTTGGGAGTTCCTGCATGCAGCTAGCTATCTGTGAGGATGTGGGAGGCATGGGGTGGGCCAAATATGAGTGCCCTCCCCAGGAGGCTGCCCAGGTTCCCAAGATGGCAGACTAGTGGCAGGACCCCTTGTCATTCCACAGCCCCAATCTGGAAGCACCTCCAACAGCTTGCCTTTGTCCTATAGGGCCACACCCCTCACCTGGAACATCAGTTTCATGCTGTCACTGATGCTGATCAGAATGCACCTGGCACACCCCACCGAGCCTCACTGTGCCTTGTCCCCTGTGACTTAGTGCGAACCTGTGGGAGTGCATGTCAGGCTCGGCGCTGGGTGGGAAGGCTGGCTGATGTAACAACGGCCACTTAAGTGTCTTGCTTTGGCAACACAGCTTCCTCCTGGTCTAATAACAACGGGGGTGGACTGTCCCCTGGCAGCTGGACAGGTGGGAAAACACCATGGAACACCAGCTTGTCCTTGGAGCCAGGCAAGAGGCCTTAGCAGTCCCAGGTGGGGGCTCCTCCATGGGGGCAGCCCAGAGTACTCACTAGGCCCTGGTGCAATGCTTCCATCAGCCCTGCATTTGCAGACAGGACAGGATTAGCAGGGAAACAGAGGCAAGAAATACCATTCGCTTGGCAATAGTGAGCACTCAGTGTTTAGTTTTTGTTTTTAACCTTTATGTGTGTGTGTGTGTGTGTGTGTGTGTGTGTGTATCTGTGTGTGTGTTTGTGTGCATCTGTGTGTGTATCTCTGTGTGTGTATATCTGTGTGTGTATATGTGTGCATCTGTATGTGTATCTGTGTGTGTGCATCTGTGTGTGTATGTGTGTGTGTGCATCTGAGTGTGTCTGTGTGTGTGTGTATGTGTGAGTCTGTGTATGTGTGTGTTTGTGTACATCTGTGTGTGTATCTCTGTGTGTGTATCTGTGTGTGTATCTCTCTGTGTGTGTATCTGTGTGTGTATATGTGTGCATCTGTATGTGTATCTCTGTGTGTGCATCTGTTTGTGTGTATGTGTGTGTGTCTGTGTGTGTGTATGTGTGTGTGAGTCTGTGTATGTGTGTGTGTGTACATCTCTGTGTGTGTGTTTGTGTACATCTGTGTGTGTATCTGTGTGTGTGTGTGTGCACAAGCGTGTGAACACACGCAGTGTTGTTTGTGTGAGAGACAGGGGACAACCTTGAGTGTTGGCCCTTGCTTGAGACAGTCTCTTGGTTTCGCTGTCCTTATATACTTCAGGCTAGCTGGCCTGTGCCTTTTGGGGGATTCTGTCTCTGCCCCCCATCTTGTTATAGGAGCACTGTGATTACAGATGGGCATCACCATGTTCAACTCTACATGTGTTCTGGGGACTTGAGATCAGGTCTTCGTGCCTTCATGGCAAGTACTTTTCCCCAGAACCATCTCCCCAAGTCCACAGACCATGCTCTTTAAGCTCACTGGTGAATGAACAAATGAATGAATGAACCATCAAGTGAACTGCCCGGTATTATCTAGTGGCTTCCCCGGTCTCTTTCATGCATAGAGGCCTTTTAAGGAAGTGAAATGCTCACCCAAGGCGGTTATTTTTAAGGTCTTGCAGCATCCACTTCTATTATTTAAATGAAATATTAGGTAGAGGCCATTGCATTAAAAAAAAAAAAGAAATGTGAATTTCTATCTGAGGTGGGGAAAGGGCTCAAGCCCCACCATAAGGGCCATGGCTGGGCTCCATGGTCTCTCCAGAGACCTTGTGCCTCCTGGGAACCCCTGGGAAACAGTTGTCAATCCTTTGGTTTAGGCATAAAGGAGCTAAGAACTTGACAGGAACATGATTGTCCCCAAGCTCACACTAGCTAGGAGCAGAAGCAAGCTCCCTGTGCTTTACACGGAGTCTGCTGCACAGACCGACTTGGAGTTCCTGAGCTCCTGGTACATGTGCCCGGCAAACCAGTCCTGTGTTTGGGAAGGAGGCCATAGAGAACAACCTGCATTCTGAAGGGGCTTTTGTCTGTGGGGTTCTCTAAAGAAAGAGGGTGGGGACAGCCATGTCCTAAGGGGCACAGTGAAGCTTGGCTTTGTCCCAGGTCAGTCTGGTCCTCAGGGGGTGGGGCCAGAGCTCCCCCATCACAACTTCTCCCTGTCCTCTACTCCCTCTCCCCAATCTCCCATAGACAAGAACTTCTAGACTTTGTCCAAGGGAGCTCCCAGGCTAGACAAGGTGGGTCACACCTATTATCCTAGCACTTGAAAGGGAGAGACAGGAGGATTGTGAGTTCCGGGCCAGCCTGGGAGATATATGTACACACACACACACACACACACACACACACACACACACACACACATACACACACCAATAGTAGCTTCCAGGGGCCCAGAGTGCTGGCCTCTGACCATGGCCTAGCCCCTGCACTTCCTCCTTTGACAGTTCATAAGCCTCAGGGTTGCTGGGAAAGAGGGGTGCCCCAGAGTTTGGTCTTGCTCTCAGGAGGTGATAGGAAGAAGGGAACAGTGAGTACAGTATAAGAATAAGATCACATAACTAGACCACATAACTGCCTCAAACTGGCATCTTGGGCACATCCAGAGCCCCACTGGACCTTGGCCATTTCATCCTGAAAGAAAGCTTGGATTAGTGGAATTTCAAGATCCTTCTGTCTGAGGGTATCTCCAGAGTGATGGCTTAATACGGGAGTCATTCTAGGAGGGAACTTCTGCAGCCTGTCTTAGGCAAGGATGATGGACTGTCACTGCAGTGGCCATTGGGCATTTTCTGAGTCCAGTAGAGAAGCTGTGTAGGGCTCTTCTTGTGGTCTGCATGGGGCAGGGGCACCAGGGACTTAGCCTGCAGCAGCAGCCAGCTAGCTTCAGGAAGCCCAGGGAGGACGATGCAGGACACACTCAGAGGCTGCTAACTAAATTCTAACACCCCCCACCCCCGCCAGGTAAGAGAAATCACAAGATGTCCCATTCACCTGGGAGTGCATTATCCATCCCCGAGAGTTGAAATAGAGTGGGTACAGGTTTAGAAATGGAACCCTTGGGGGTCTTTAGCCCCTGTTCAGCTATGTGGGACTTTTGAAAAGGTGTGTGTGTGTGTATGTGTGTATATGTGTGTGTTGCACACATGTGAATGAACACATATATGAACATGTGGAGATCAGAGCAGCAGGCCCAGTGTCTTCCTTTATTGCTGTTCTCCTTATAGCTTTAAGACAAGCTCTCTCCTTGAACCAGAAGCTCACTGATTTTGTTAGTCTGAGGCTGATCAGAGTCTCAGTACCCCTAACACTAGAAGGACAGCCACACACAACCATGTCTAGTGTTCTGACCTCCTGGTCTCCCATGATGCACCAGTACCTCTAGAAAGGCCAACAAGCTGTGAACAGCACACCCAGGGCTTCGAAGGCACAACCAGGAGCATCAGAAGTGGCTAGCAAGCAGCTGGTTTGATAATTATTTGTTACTCTAGAGACCGAGGGGGTGGGGTCAGGAAGAATGAATCGTAGTGATAGGAAGTAGCCCAGGTTATCCAGGTACTCACTTTGTCATAGACACCTGTCCTTGCAGCTTGAACACCTCTGGTCTGTAGGAGGCTTCGGGAAGGGCAGGACCCTGCAAAGGCTTGGTTATGAATTCTTTCTTGGGGGGTTGTGATCATTGACAAAGGCTGGGTTTGGGAGGCCTGAGTTCTGGTCCCCTGCTTCTGTCTTAGTTCCTAGGGACTTGGAGAAGAAGTCTCCTCCCTTCCTGGGGCTCCATCTGTTGCCAGGGTGAAGTCAAGTCTCTATATGGGAGGGTCCCATCTCTACAGTTGCCTTCCAAGGATGGAGGGAGGAAGTGACTTAGAGCCGTAGTAGGATAGACATCAGGAAGCTCTTCCAGCTGGGTGGAGTGGCTGGCCATGAAATGCATAAAGAGGGAGGCGTGAGCTCTGGCATTCTCCTAGTCTCTGAAGATCAGGGTGCTTCCTAATGCCCTATGAAGTCTGGGTCAAAGTTCAGTGGCTGCTGTCCTCTGGCATCTGGTATGTTCTTCCTTTCTGACATCCTCCTGGGACTCACAAATGTTCACCAAGTGACATTTCTCATTCAGATTTTGGGATTCTAGGTCTCTTCTCCTGCACAGGTCTGGGGGGCCCATGATACCTAGCTTTCACCCCTAGTTTTGATAATAGAGTGCTGACTGTCAAAGCCAATGCTGAATGAATGCCCTCCGACTCACGGTCAACTACCGGTTTTCCGGTGCTATCTATTCTGGCTTCTATTGATTTCTCACCTTGATGGTTCATCACCACTCTTCTCAGGACTCACTCTCTTCCTTGCCCCAACTTCACAAGTCTCCTTGTTCGAATCCCCTGTGCACCTTGCCCCGACGTTCTTCGCCATCTCTCCTTCTAGCTCCAGTCTCTGTGTGCTGAGGTGCCAGGATCACAGGGTCATACCAGCTGGTAGATCCAAACTTCAAGGTCATCTCTGGCTACACCAAGAGTTCAAGGCTAGCCTGAGCTACATGAGACCCCATCTCAACAGATAAGCAATCAAGCCAACACACAAACAAAACCAGAGAGAAGACAGGGATGACCATTCTTACCAGTTTGCTCACCAGGCCTCTTGTGAGAACCAGACTGGAGAGCGTGTGTGAAGGCCTGGAGCCTGGAGAGATGAGGGAGACTGCTTTGGTCATTTGTGACATTGGTCACCAATTGACTTGGTTAGAACCCAAGCCTTACTTGAACTGGAAATTTGAAAATTAATCCCCATTTTATTATTAATTTTTTAGGTATGTGTGTGTATGGTTGGGGAGGCGCTGGTGCTGTACACCCATATTGGGTCCCCCAAGATAATCTCCAGGAAATCAGTTTTCTCTACCATGTGGGCTTCAGGAATTGAACTCTTGATTTTTAGGAATAGCAGCAAACTCTATTATCCTCTGGTCCATCTCATCAGCCCTCAGTTCCAGTATCTGTAAAGTGGAGCTAATCATGGCCAACTAAAGAGAGACACTCAGACATTGGCATGGGACCAAGAAATGTGCTTCGTTGGCTGTGAAATTCATCAGAATTTGACCCTCACGTATAGTCCAGGCTTGTCCACATAGATCCATGATTATATGGGGAAGGAGATTAGCCGTGTTTGTACACGTAAGACAAGCTCTGGCGGGCTCCTGCTGACCCAGTAGGGAATGGGTGCAGCCCTACTCAGACTGATTTCGAGCCAAACGTTCTTAAAGATACAAGCAGACCCACTGTCAAAGTCAGGATCTCTCCAGTCCTTACTGTGTACCCGTGCTTTGCATGTGTCATCTATGACTCTAGAGATACGAAGCAGGGTGGTTACTCACATCTTGCAGATAAGGAAGCTGGCATGGAAAGCCTCGAGGACGTGTTCCTCATGTCACGCAGCTGAATTCAGGCATAGTTGCTGTAACCCTGACCAGTTGCAGTGCTGGGTCATGAGGCTCCAACCAGACTTGGCAATGGGTGGGGGATGGGAGACGACAACCACAGTTCACAATACAAAGTCATGTTCCCACCAAGAGACCTCTGGGCTCCACCTCAGCCTCCAGTGAAGCTCCTGCCTTGCAGAGACCCCAGATCCCCTTTCTTTTGTCATGTTCCAAATGCAGAGGGAGTGCCTGTGTTCAGGAGATAGCACCAATGGCTTCTCCTTCTGGCTCAGAGGGATGTGAAGCAACTTGGGGTGGAATCCTGACTCCATGGTTTTGGTAATCTGACTCCAAAAATACGAATTTCTAGTAGAATTACCAACTCTCAGGATGAGGTTAGAACCTCACAAGGCCACAGACACCCATGAAAGTGTTATAATGCCAGGTCACTGCCAGGAGCCAAGGCTCAGGACACCTCTGGGAAGGGCCTTACATCACTGAGACCCATTCGTCTAAAGGAGGGACCATAATCTGGCTTGTTTCCAATATTCTCTTTCCTCCCGTCATTTATCCGTACCCCTCAGCCCTCTGGATCCCGTGTACAGAAAGACAGCAGGAGGTGAAACTGTTATTTAATACATGACTCCTGTGTCCTGGGCCCTGGTGAGGACTCCCTAGTCAATGCCAGACTATTTCATAGATGAACCCAAAGCTTAAGAGGTTCAGTAGCTGGTTCCAGTCCTTTCGCTGTAAAAGCACGGGTTCAGAATCAGGACCATGGGCTGCCTGACTGTGTGTCATCAAGTACATTCTCAGCTGAGGAACTTGCTCAGGGGCAAAGTAGTTTGCCCAAAGCCAAGTTTAGGTAAAGAGGGTCGTTTGGTGATGGAACATTTTTTCTGCCATACATGGTGCCTGTAGTCAACTCTTAGCACCTGTAAATGTGAACATCTTCTCTAGTTTTGCCTTCCTTGGCTCCAGCCCCCTTGTAGAAGTTTTGGAAACCTGTTCTCTAGGTAGCACTGGTGTGAGGGTGGCCTCTGTGTCAGAACAGCTGGAGCAGCAGAAGCAGTGGCCTGAATGTCCCTAAACACATTAAGATGCATCCCTGTGCAGCCAGCTGGAATAAGGGTACTCTTGGGTAACCATCCTTTTTTGTTGATGGATCCCAGCAGATCCCTGTGGGAGACTCTCTGGCCCCTCCCGTGAGTGTGGTCAACGTCTTTCTTAAATCCAACACACAGGTCCCAGTAATATGAAGATGTGACAAAACCTATTGGCTCCGATTCCTGGAAGAGACATTTTAAAAAGTGTTCTTCTCTGTGTCCTATTCATAAGAGACAATGGTGTTGGTTGTGTCCGATGTTCTCAACAGGAGAACTTTGAACTGCTTTGCTCAGGACTTGTGTTGAATAGAAGCACAGGCCTTCCTCTGTCCCAGTCGTTTGGCTTAGAATAGTCCTCTCCCACTCACAGGGCCCTCAGCTGGAAGAGGCTGGCTGGGAGCAGGCACAAGAAGGCCCTTCATTCTATTTTCAGAATGCTTCTCCAGCAAGGACACCTCCAGCAAGGACATCTCCAGCAAGGACATCTCCAGCAAGGACACCTCCTCAGGCTTCTCCAGCAAGGACACCTCCTCAGGCTTCTCCAGCAAGGACACCTTCTCAGGCTTCTCCAGCAAGGACACCTCCTCAGTCTTCCCCAGCAAGGACACCTCCTCAGGTTTCTCCAGCAAGGACACCTCATCCCCAGGCTTCTCCAGCAAGGACACCTCCTCAGGTTTCTCCAGCAAGGACACCTCCTCAGGCTTCTCCAGCCCAAGCGTCTCCAGTCCGGGCATCTGCAACCAGGGCACCACCTTCCAGGTCACTGTCAGGCAGGTCTTCATCTGCCAGGTCAGCCTCCACGACATCCTCCCCAACGAGAGTGTACCTTGTTAGAGCAACACCAGTGGCGGCTGTCCCCATCCGGGCATCTCCTGCCAGGTCAGCACCAGCCACCAGGGCCACCAGGGCCACCAGGGAGAGCCCAGGTAAGGGGGCTGCTGCAGGGAGGGCAGAGATCCAGGGCAGTGTCTTTGGGCAGAGGGAAGCTCTCAGTGAGCAGTCTGCTCTTTGTACCCCTGGGATAATGAGATGGGGGACAGCCAGTGTGGAACACGGGGAACATGGAGAGGTGAGGGTGGAAAGTATCCATGACATGACAGCCTAAGACAATAAAACATTAGGCAAAAGGAGGAGGAGCCAGAAGCCATAAATGAGGCAGCAGAGTGCTCACTGCTGAGCTCCAGAGTTCTCCAGGCAGAATGCTGGTGGCCGCTCTGCCCAGGGTAGAGTTCTGACTCCAAGAGCAAGGGCTCTTGGTTCCAGGAGAGGCGGTTTCCTTTGGCTGTATGTCTGCTGGGGAAGCCAGGGTCTGCAGTAGTACAAGGTCAGTCGTGATCAGTATGCCTGCTCATACCTGGAGGAAGAATGAAAGGGACTTTGACCATTCCGAGCTTCCAAATTTGTCAAGGACGAGGCTCTGAAGTTCAGCTAACAGAAAGTCAAGGAGGCCATTGGGCCTCCAGGCTTGGCTCTGCCCTTCAGGAAACTGTTTCCATGTACCCTAGACCTTATCCTGTCCCCATTGCCTCAGTCCTAAATATTCAGGCCTTGTTGCTATTTGATTGTGAAGGATCACCCAAGGTTTGGGGCCATCCTAGCCTTTCCCAATCCAGGGTAGGAGAGGCGCTTTGGTGGGATGGGTTCTAGTATGAGAGACACTGCATTTGAATCTCTGTCCTGCCAGTCACTAGTTTAGTGACTTTGAGTAACTTTTTTTATTATCCATGGACCTCAGTTTCCCCACCTACAGAATGTATCTAATAAGACTCAGCTCACGTGATGTGGTGAGGATGAATTAGCAGAACACATGTGTGGTACCTAGCCTAGAGCAGCCTAGGAGAATGCATAAGAGGACTATACTGGGGAGGGGTGGAGCTGTATTGTAAGGTGCAAGGGCCCTAGCAGGATGCTCAGGAGTAAGTTTTGCTTCCTTCTGGGCCCTCCACCACGCTATGCTCCTCCCCAGCAATTCTCCTTCCCTACCATCCTGTTCTTAGGTCTCAGTTTCCCCAAGTTCTCCTGGCAGGAGACCCAGAGACAGCTGCCACTCATCGGGTGTGTCCTCCTTCTCATCAGCCTGGTGATCTCACTCATCCTTCTCTGTGAGTTGAACGGAGGGCAACAGGGTGGCTTTGGGTCATCGCAGAATGGAATGGCATCAGGCATAGAGGCATGCTACAGGCACAGAAGGACTCACATCCACATGGGGACCTTGGGTCATGAGGTACCAAGCTCCTTAGAGAGGACTGGGGTAAGCCTGTGGAATCTCATGGGCTTCCGGGTTTGGGTCCATCAGTGCAGATGGATTCTGATGATATGCTACAATTGCCTTAACTACGCTGGGCCCCACTTCATTTTCTTTAATTGGAATGCTGTTTGTCATTAATCATTCAACCCAGCATATACGTCTTATTCCACTTTACCCAGACCAGGAGGGGCTATGTGAAAAAAAAAATAAGTGTACAGTTCTTGACATAAAATCTCACTCTGAAAACAGCTACCTATAAAAATGAGCATGCTGTAAAACATTAAAAAGGCCTCTGAAGGTCAAAAGGACAAGGTGTGCTCTCTGGGGATTCAGGCCCCTCATGTTGTCCTTTGGAAAAAGAACCCCAGAACATGTTCTAGGCTCTTTGATGAGCAAACCATTAGAAGCCAGCCCGAAGGGGATCATAGGAGGGAGCAGAGGTGAACACAGACTGTGTGATTCTGTCCCAGGAAGTAGAAGTCAGACTGTGTGATCTCAGAGTGATCACCAGGGACAAGTGACAGTTGTGTGGTAGGGTGCAAGCAATTTTAGATTAGGACCTGGAAGATATTGAGAACAGTTACGTTCTTCTAGACATCAGAGGCCAGGGAGCAGGAGAAGGGACAGGTGGCCAAGGCCTACATTGGGTAGAGGGAAAAAAATTCCAAAGGGAGATGCACATTTGAGAGCTTGGGGCCCATCTGTTTAGCTACGTGAGGTCAGAAAGCTTTCTGCTTAGGCTGAGAAGGATTCTATGGAAGGCGCAGCATGAGATGACAAATGAGGGGACAGAGGGTACTTGGAAGCTTCCGGTGGCACAGCTGTTAGAGGAAGAGGCTTTGTGATGTTAGATCATGGCTGTAGTATCACACGTCCCTGCTCCAGCATCCTGCCTCTGCTTCTCATGAGTTATATGACTTCAGCAAGTTAGTTAACCTTCTGAGCCTTGGTTTCCCTACCCGGGTGGCGTGGTCGTCATCACAATGCATGTGACTGCCTCCAGCTTCCTTGGTCTGAGACCTTCCGCCCACTCCTCCCTTTGCCAACGGAGCTCTTTGCTTCTGAGAACAATAGGAATGACCCAGAGAGGGCACTTAAGACACTCAAGAGCAGGCTCACCCAGTAGCCTTAAAGCTCTAACCTGGTTCTATAGTATTTCCCAAAGTCCCTACAGCTCCTTCATGGAGGCCAGAGAGGAAGTAGGATCTGCAGGTCAAGACCAGTCTATCCACAGTCATAGTGGTCCTGTGATATACAGCATCCCCCAGGCACCAACCAGTCTCCCAGCATCACCCAATCCACAGTCACAGTGGTCCTGTGATATGCAGCATCCCAGGCACCGTGAGAAGGATATCTAGGACTCCCTAGAGCATCAGCATCTAGGGTATTCAAGGAGGAGGGCAGGGCACTGAGAGGAGAGTGTACAGCCCCGAGGGATTAAGAGAATGTGTGTCTAGACTGGGAAGAGACTGTCTATGTCGATGGCTTTATCCTGAGTGACAGAGACCATGTTGGAGCTGGGGAGGCAATGTGGGGTCAGGAGCTGAAGAAGTGGTAGAGGTTGGAAGGTTGGGTGAGGCATTCGATGATAGGTTTGTGGGGGCTCCACAGGGAGGTGTCTCCAGTCAGTAGAGTGACAGCTCAGGTTTGTTAGAGGCAGAGGAAGACATGGAGCTGTTTCCCACAAAAGGTGTGAGAAGTTTCTTTGTACATTTAGAAGTCGATCACCTGGAGTTGCTTGCTGAGTGGGAAGACATAAGTGGGAAAGGCATAAAGAGAAGCACAGAATGACCAAGTACAAGGGGTTTCCATGTTTAGGGCTGAAGGAGGAGGATACAAACGTGGGAGCTGTTGACAATGGCATCACGGTATCAATTAAGAACACCAACCAGATGACAGCGCTCTCTCTCTCTCTTTCTCTCTCTCTCTCTCTCTCTCTCTCTCTCTCTCTCTCTCTCTCTGTGTGTGTGTGTGTGTGTGTGTGTGTGTGTGTGTGTGTGTGTGCATTACAGAAAACAGGGGATACCAGAGGGGTTCTGGGAAGGAACTCTGGACACTGGAGGAGAAGTTTTCTTTGGCTCCTAGTCCATCTGGTCTATAGGATAAGGAGGCTTCCAAAGTAGGATCCGTGTCCATCTCATTATTTCTCTTGGTCTCTTTCTTTCCCTCTCTGGGTAGCTAGCTGTTCAAGTCTGTCTAGGGCTTCCCTGATTGCAGGAGTTTTCTAGAACATTCCTGAGCAGCCTTTCTCTCCATACAGATGAGGGACGGGAACCCCAGAGTTCAAGAGGGATTACAGGTCGGTGTCTGAGAATCCCCAGGGCCTTGGGCTGCTGAGTATCCTGTCCCTCCGGTGCTGGTGATAAGCAGCTGTCTGCTTGTTTTTGTTGGTTTTGTTTTTCTAGTCTACTTCTGGCGAGGCCACACCGGGATCAAGTACAAAGAGCCATTGGAGAGTTGCCCTAACCACGCGGTTCGCTGTGACGGAGTGGTAGATTGCAAAATGAAGAGTGATGAGCTGGGCTGTGGTAAGATGGCTGGGCGTGGGGAAGTGTGTGTGCTTGTGTGTATGTGTGTGCATGTGTGCATGTGTGTGTATATGTGTGTGCATATGTGTGCATGTGTGTATATGTGTGCATGTGTGTATGTATGTGTATATGTGTGTGCATATGTGTGCATGTGTGTATATGTGTGCATGTGTATATGTGTGTGCATATGTGTGTATGTGTGTATTTATGTGTATGTGTGTATGCTTGTGCATATGTGTGTATGTGTGTGCATGTGTGTGCATGTATGTATGTGTGTGTATGTGTGTGTCTCTGTGTGTATGTGTGTGTTTATGTGTATGTGTGTGCTTGTGTATATATGTGCATGTGTGTGTATGTGTGTGCATGTGTGTGCATGTGTGTGCA